CTAGACGAACGGTGCGGAGGGTATGCATTCTAGCATAGGCGACTACTTCTGTAATCTGATTTAGGGCTGTCCTGCCTTGAATCTCCTTTCGGGCCATTCTGCGGACCAAGATTGGCAAGACTCTATCTGCTGAGCCCCCATTGCTCAAGTCGGAAAAGCTTCGGTCGCCATCAAATAGCATAGATTGATCTTGTCCTTGGCTCCATATTTCCAAGCATTCCACTCACTCAGGGTCGGGCCATGAAAAAGCCGGACGAGGGTTAGGAATTGGAAAGGGAGCTGCTCGGGGTAGGTTTTCAACCTCTGCTTCGGAGTTAGCATCATACGAAAAGTCTTCATCATGGTGATCATTCAAGAGGAAAAGGATGATCATTCTCTGGTTATTCTCCAAACCAACCAGCTATGACTTCATTTGGAAGGTACTGGTTGTCGAGGGGATGGAGTCCAGTTATGTTTTCTATGCGAGAATTTAAGGGTAAGAGAATAATTATTAGACGAGCTATCTAGATAATTATTTAGAAAACCTTCATTAGTTACATCGCTATTTGTGAAGTGCATACCAGCTATGTGTAATCTAAACAGGATAGACCTTCGAATAAGTGACCTTAATTTCCAAATTCACACAGAATAGGGGTAAGGCAAACTTATCACAGATTCTAAGTCTATAACATCCTAATTACATATAGCCTTAGTGTATCCACTTAGCAACTATCAACTTAGAAATGAAGATCCCGTTTTAGTTCTCAAGTATAAAGTACTTCTAGTAACACCAAATACTCCTATAGTATTTTAAAATTTAATGTTATGTTCTATTGTTCTCATTGTGGTAGGGTTGGTAAGATTTTAGCATTGTTGCAACCACACACTTAAGCTTAGGCACATGCTAGTCAACCCTCGGATAATATAGGTGATCAGGCTATATCTTCCCAGTTTTGACCATATGTCTCTAAGCCCACTTGTGTTGTCCAACAATCGTAATTCTTTTGTACTGTCCTAGTGACACTGATTTTAGTATGAATGCAGCACGTATACTTACTTAAATATTTTACTATTTAAAGTATAAACTCTTGGTCAGAGTATTTTTAATCCCTTATGTATTTATAGTTAGTATATCTTTTATGGGTTGATATACTTAATTCACTATAAACAATGCTCTGATACCAATCTGTCACACCCCAAAACCGAGAACGGCGGAAACGTTCTGGGGCGGAGGACGTCATGTATAATATCAACAACAATGTAAAGTAGTAAACAAGCAACAACATCATCCATTGCATTAATAAAATAATTATTATACAATTGTATTCTGTCAAATTTTGATAAACACTAAAGCCTAAATCAAAATGAAAGATAAGTCTTGAACAAGCTCCATCTTCCTTTCTCCTTGCATCGGTACCTGTCTATGATGACCTGAGGATACAAGTAATTTTGAAAGCGAGTATCAGCTTTGAAGCTGGTGAGATCATAAGTATTTAGTGTCTTAATTTGTATGTAAGAATTTGTAAGTCTATGTATTGTAAGAATTTGAAAAAGTTTGAATCTCTCAGAAAAACCTATATTTTCTATTAAAGTAGCCTTCTACCAAGGCTTAACTGTTTTGTATGCTCGTTTGATGTAAAAGTGTGTAATTTCCCAAGTGTAACTATCATCATCAAAAATATAGTTTGTACATTAAAGTTTAAGTGAGGTTATCGCTAAAAATGTAATGGGTAAATCATTGTAGTACTGTAGTTTTGTATTATAGGAACTACTGCTGTACTAACTACCTTAAACCGGATTTATATTAAGGTATAATGTGATAATTGCACCATACTATCGACTGATAACAACGACATAAAGAACGGTCGTAATAACGGAATGACGTTTGGCACCCGCAGACCTGCAGGTCCGGCTGTAGCTAGCAGCAAGGTGTAGGATTGTCAATCCAGTATAGATCTATACGCAAACTCAACGCTCTCCCTCCAAGAGAATTCTGGCTACAACTCGGGCCATGACATTTAAGGCATGCTCCGATACAGTGGATCACAATTGTTAACGTATTAATGTAAGGGTAATGTTTCTCGTTCTAGTATAGTTGTATATGTTCTCGTCCTAGTATAGTTGTATATGTAATGTTCTAGAAAGTATTGACTCATGAATGAACTGACTCATTGTATGATATCGCGTTCTAGTAACGGTTCTAGTATCTTCCTAAACTACCCATATGGTAGTTTACTAGCAGTCTAACTGGTACGTATGGTCATGGATGTATACCCTTACTAACTAAGGGCATGGGATGAACTGGAAAGACCTTTTATGACTATATATGTACACATGATATATAACTAATATTTAAACAACTTTCGGACGAATACCCAATATCCCACCAGACCACATCTCAAGGCGCGAAAAGGAAATAGGGTGGATAGCCTTCCTAAGTCTTTTAAACATTTCTTATATAACTATACATATAGAGGCATGCAATTTATAATATAAAAGCATAAATAAATTTGTAAGACATTTGAAACAATAATATTATTTTAAGAAAAGATCGACTTGATGTCGATTTATAAAACAATTTGAAGGCATAAGTATGATAAAACAGTTTTGAGTATAAGGAAACATTTGATTGAAACACAGTTGTAAATAAGTTTGAAAGGTAATGTACGGAGTAAGCTATACAGTGTAAAAAAAAGGAGTTTAAAACATATAAAATGTTTATAAAAAGTCATTTGAAGGAAACTGTTTGGTAAAACGGCTAATGAGTAGCCAAATCTTTTGAATGCTGTATATTAATCACATGTGATTGATGTAATAACTAGCGTAATTCTACTTATTAATCGCATGTGATTGATATAATACTAGCATGATTCTACTTGTATCCCCCCCCCCTATTAAACATTTAAAAGTAGTTTAAAACATTAATTAAGGGGTATGAACTCACTTGATTGAAGTGGTCGATTTGAAGTAGTCGAGAGAAGAATCGAGCAGAACTTCGACAGGAAGAGTTGAAAACGCGGGAAAATCTCGGGATTATCGGGAATCTAGGGAATCTGGGGAACACAAAACCTTCCTTCGGGACTTGAAGGTGAAAAACCGGGGCTTTGGGAGGGTCTCGGGGGCTTAAACGCAGAGTTTCAGCGCGAGAAAGAAAGAATGGAGCACCTAAACCCGACACCCCAAGAGTTCTATTTATAGGGGGTATTTTTGAGTGCCATGTCGTGGCTAGGGTTGGCCACGTCGTGGGGAGCAAGTCTATCCTATTCCATTGATTGGACGCCCTCAGTCACTTGCCGGGTCGCGGCAAAACAGTGCCACGTCGTGGAGAGGCCTGACAGCCTCGGATTTTGGACCCCGAACTTGTAAAATCCATAACTTTCGCGTACGACCTCCGTTTTCGACGTTCTTTATATGCACGCGTAGCTAAAAACATGATCTACAACTATCATTTAGAATTCATTGGCTAATTTTTGACTTTATTTCTAATTATTTACTTTTAACGGGCCCGGACACGAAAATTTCGTTAAAAATCCATAACTTCTTCATCCGGTGTCCGTTTTCGTCAGACTTTTCGCCGTTGCGCTACTAATGTTGAGACCTTAGATTCTCATTTAGGTTGTTTTGGTCAAAAGTATCTCGAGCTCTATTTCGAGTTTTTAGCTGTCTACTGCTATACCCGAATCTTGGAAAAATCATAACTTTCTCATACGAAGTCAGATTTGGACGTTCTTTTTATGTACGCTCACGGTTTGAGGTTATATATAAATTTCATTTTGATACTTAAGGCTAAAAACTATTGTATTGAAACTTCGCGTTTTTCGTTTAATCGGTGTTGCCGGTTTTGCCGAGAATCTTCGGTTGGTCATAACTTCTTCGTTATAACTCGGATTTTAGGGTTCTTTATATGTACGAAAACCTTGATACGATTCCTACTACTTTATTTAACCCAAATAAGATTTTAGGAAATTTATATTTTGACCTAAATTTGATTGGTTTTACATTACATTGTCTCGAAATATCGGGTTGTCACATACGACATCCCTCTTCATAGTTAAATTTTGAAAACATGGCAAATAAAAAATTTTGTAGCAAAAGATTGGTCTAGTATCATGTCCTTATGTGAAACATCATGAATCTTGTTCCATATGCTTCAAATATAGGATCGATTGCATGTGCTATAATATTCATCCTTTTTAAATTTTCCAAATGCTTAGGGCATTAAGAAGGGAAAAGTCTAGAACGGGATATGACTAAAGTGATTAAGAAATTGTCAATGATAGTCCAACGTTCGCCAAAGATTTGTTGCTCAGGACAGTTGGAAGTATGATGTAAATTGTTGGAAAGGACCGTATTTACATATTCCGAAAAGAGGTACAGTACTAGAAAAATAGCCTTTTACAACGCGCAAACAATGAGACGCACTAATTTACAATACGCTAAAGTGTGCGTGCTAAAAATAATGTCATCTCTCACAAAATTTGAAGGATCAATGACGCTCATTTTTGCGTGCCCCTAAAATTGGTGTCTTAACAAAAAAAAATTAAAAACACGGAGGATGCTTATCTTAAGCGTGTGTCCTCTACAGATGTCGTTTTATAATTTTACTCAAACGCGCGTCTCTTATAATAAAATCACAGGGACCGATATTGATATTAATTCTAAGGCTTTTTTTAAGACTAGCAACACTCACTCACTCAGTGCTCTCTACAATCGATCCGGCGACCTCGCCTTGCTTCCGGCAACCGCTTGCTCACTTCTCCTCATCGACGGTCTCATCGTCACCTGACCTCAAATTCCTTTGTTTCCATCTTTTGCAGAAAACCCAAATACACGCTCACCCCATTTTTGATGCTCATAAACGAAAAAGGGCAAGCGCCTTGGTATTTTAGAAGATGTATTTTGAGGAAATGGGGGATTTTGGTTCTACGTGTTCTTATAACCTTGGGAATCAAGAACCCTGTATTCTCACACCAGATTCATAGTTGAAGTCTACCAGAGAGAAAAGTGTATGGATGAGCCTAATGGGTCGGGGAATAGCAGAGGAAGCGCTAGTCCTTCTTCGTAGAAGACTATGTGATCTCAATTTCATCTTCTCCCTCTTCTCCGATTCTCCCGACAACAACTACAGGTTCGGTTGATGGTTATTCGAATATTTTATATATCTTTCAATTATGTATACATGAATATCATAATCTCTTTTTTTCCTCATCCTCCATTGTGACGTATTTATTCTTTGAACAAATTTCAGTAAGTTGAAATTTATCGTATCAAATTCGGTAATTGAGGCTGTAACAATTCGATACTGCTTCAGGGTCCTCGAGGATGCAGAAAAATTGCGGTATAATACCCAATTTCTGTGATAATTACTTGGATTTTTTAATAGTATTTACTGTGATTTTATTGTGTCATTGATTATAGAATTAGGTGTTGGATCTTGTTCTAGAGGATTTGCTGAAAGAATATCCTGAAATGATCTCAGAGACATATATATATATATATATATATATATATATATATATATATATATATATGTTTTTATCTATTTAAATATTTTGTTTTCGTCTATTATTTTTTTACTCTATATCTGTTGTGATATCAGGCACAATGGCTGACCGAAAAGAGCATCTCCTCCCACCAAAACCTACATCAGCTATAAACGTTAGTGATGGATCATAACAGCTGATGAAGTTCTGCTTTTGAACTCTCTTGATAGCTATATGTGGTGGAATTACAAAGACGATTGAAAGCTAGAGAGTTGGTGTGGTGTGGCAATATGAAGGGGAAAAGTTGAATAGACGAATGGGAAATTCAAATAGATCCTTAGGGTACCTGTGCATGGTTTGTAGGGTTTTTAAGACTACCTTCCATTGAAGAGAGATTAAAAATAGGTGATCTCCTTGAAAGGGGTGTTCTTTCTTCTTCAAAGGTATTATTTTTGGTCTGTTTATATATGCCCGTTTACATGTTCATACAAATTTTGTCTTTTCAACTTTCATCAATAGATTATGCATATACAGTATAGAGGTGTTTCACTATCTTCTTGTAGTTATAGATTTCTAATTTCTAAAACAAAAGAAGTTATTTCATCATTTTATCTGCAAGAAGTACATAAGACTATTCCATAGAACAACATGGCGGAGCTTATTTCTCAATCACCTTCATCAGTTGTGTGTGTGTGTGTGCGTGTTTGTGTAAAAATTAATGAAAAAAAAAACTACCTACAGTGTGCAATTTCTTGTGTTTATTACAAGTTTAAGAGATATAAAATTGATTCATTTGCAATAAAATGATCTGTTCGTGGTTGGAAAACAAAAGAAATTGCAAACTTTGATTCATTCTTTGCATTCACTCTTTGTTGCTTTGTAGTTACACTTGAAATTTTTTTCTTTCCTACGAGTGAGTAGTTCAGGAAGATATTGAAGACCTTTTTTTCATTTAATTAACCTTGATCTGTGTTTAGATGACTTAGAAATTCAGGGATGATGACCATTTATATTGGGATATTCAAAAGCTTTTGTTTGGTAACACTTCACCTGAATACTTGCCCTTTGAGTTTAGGGCTCTAGAAGTTGCTCTTGAGGCTGTTTGTACATTTCTATTGGTGGTAATGCAGTTGGTAACAAAAGTGGAGCTTCACGAGCTCTTGTGAAGTATAGGTTTGTCTTTTCAAATATCTGTTATATCTTTAAAAAAGAATCAAAAAATTGGTTGATATATAAATTGAAATGTGGTGGTTTAACTTTAGGTTGAAGATCTTCAATGGTCAGTTTGAAGAGCTTCATCAAAGACAATCTCAGTGGACCGTTCCTGACATAGAGCTTAGAGAGTCTATCAGACTGGCAGTTGTTGAAGTCTTGTTGCCTGTATACAGATCTTTCATTAAATGTTTTGGGTACATATTTTTTTTTTTGATGTATCTTAATTCTCAGGCTCAAATAAATGAAAAAAAAAGTAAACAAATATTTTTTTTTCTGTTTTTTACAGTTACAAGGCACTTGTTGAGAATGGGAAGAATCCCATTAAGTACATAAGGTATTCAGCAGAGGATCTTGATCGGATGCTTTGTGAATTTTTCAAGGGTAAGACTTTGAACAAATCAAGACAATAGATATAGCAAGATGTTGAATTACTCTTTTACCATTGTGGTATGTTAGTGTATCCTGTAGCCTAAAAGGGCATGGCATGTATGTTCTTTTTGTATGTATTGGGGTAATAAGAATATGGGTATGCTAAAAAGTTAAAGAAAAAAAATGCTGAAACTTTGATTAATTTATTTTTCATGGTTGGTGTGTTAGTTAGTATGTTACTAGCTGGTAATTATTAATGAAAGGTCTATACTTTATAACAAAGAACATGAAATACATGTTTTGGAGCTTGAATTCCAAGGTGTCAACAATTCTTTTTTTTTTACTATCAGTTGCACTATTTTCTACACTCAGTTGATTATATATTCCATATTTCTGTACTCCTATCCTACAATTTCTTCAATTTCCTATACCACAATTCCAGTGTCACCACTTTTGTTCCAGTTCTGCTTCACGAGCACTTGTAAATGATAGGTTTGTATTTTTAACTAGAACAAGGGTATTTTTGTAATTTTCTTTTCTACTGATGCTCTTTTTTTTTCAGGTCCTCTCACAGAGGAGGATGCTATTGTAGATATAATGGGACGACATTATCAATTCGTATCTTCAATTCAGTCTCGTCTAAAGCAATGGATGATCCATTTGTGGTTCTAGAAACTACATCAACTCCTATCACATCACCCCCAAGTGTTTTTATTGATCCATTGGAAACAGTTCACAAGATGAATGAAGAAAACTTCACGGAAATAAATAGGAGAACGTTTGTAAGTTGTTCTTTCTTCAATATTAACATCTATGATCTACCATGTTATACTATTTGTTGTGTGCATTTTCATCATGGAATGCTTGAAATCTTAAACCTTTTAAAATCTTTTACTTGTAGAAAAAGACGATATCTTAAACATTTTCATCATGGAATGCTTGAAATCAGAAAAAGACGATATGTTAAGTTGTACAAGTTGAAACTGGAATGTCTACGAAAAGAGCAGGTGAGGTCATTAGTCATTACACATATAGTTTTCTTGATTTAAACATTATATGGTGTATATGATTCAAACATTATTTGGTGTATATGAATTATGATCAGCCTCTGGAAGATGAAATTGTTTTGGAGTTGGACCAAATAGAGAAAGTATCTGATATAGAAGATACCTTGGGTTACAGGTCTGCTGCTGAACATGAGCTTCAGGTATGATTATGATCATTGTTGTTAATATCTATTCCTTTTCTTTTTTTACTTATACATTTTATTAAAGACTATGAACATGTAACAGCCCGGATCCCCAGGTACCTTCATTTCTTTATATATTTTGGCATTCTGTGAGGGGACTCGGCGAGTTGGTGGTTGAACTCGTCGAGTCGGGTCGCGGTTTTTAGCGGGGGTTCGCGTCCGGACTCGGCGAGTCCAAGGGATAGACTCGACGAGTCCGTGCTGTTTAATGAAACCCTAATTCCCCGGCCCTAAGCTCTATTTAAAGGACCTTATGGCCCTCTTATGCGGCCACCTTGAACCCTAAGAGCCTCCATACATCTGTAAGCCCTTGTGTGTGTGTTTGAAGGCCTTTTGTTCTTCATTTTGTGTGATAGTGCAAGGAAAGGAGGGAGAGGAGCAAGCTTGAAGTGTTGGGGAGCTTAGATCTGTTGCTATTTCATCAAGGGGGTCTTCTTGAGGTAACATTCTGAGCCAATCTTCGTGTTTTGTGTTGATGGGCCAAATCTAGGGTTTCTTCTTGCCTTTCTTGGCTTGAATAAGAAGTATGAGAGGTCCCATGGAGACATGGAACCTAGATCTGGACTTTAGCAGGTCCAGGAGACCCCTTATGACAAGCTTTATGCCCATTTATTTGAGTTAGAAGCTATACTTGCCATATTGAGGTGGTTTCTTCAAAATAAGCCTTGTATGCATTGCATGGCAACCAAGACTGAGACTTTACGTGACAAATAAGCTTGGGAAGGCCAGATCTATGTATTTATGGAACGGATCTGACCGCAAGAGCCAGTTTTAGCTGGTGCATGGCATGGACTCGCCGAGTCTGAAGAACAGACTCGACGAGTCACTTGAAGATTGTCCTTGAGACCATCTTGTGTGTAGACTGGACCGAGTTGTGAGCGACTCAGTGAGTCGCAGAGAGTTGGAAAGGTTTTGTCAGGTGGACCGAGTCAGGATGGGACTCGCCGAGTTGGCCTTAGACTCGGCGAGTTGAGTCGCGGTGACCCTGCGATTCAGGCCCAGGCGGAACTCGTCGAGTCAGGGGAGTACTCGACGAGTCAAAGGGAAAATTCTTGAGAGTTGGTAAAAACGCGTAGACTCGCCGAGTCACTATTGTGCACTCGCCGAGTCTAGTCCAAATTAACTAAAGACTGTTGATCGGGTCAACCTGTGTTGACTTGATTTGGATGGTCCACCTTAGCGGTACAAGTAATATTTATAGATTTATATATCGTAGGAGGATTGCAGCTCGAGGGTTCGGGCCCGAGTGATTCCAGGATTTTCGATTAGCAACTTAGCAAGGCATACGAGGTGAGTCTCCTCACTATACTGTACCCGGAAGGGTTTTGACTATGTGACCGGAAGGTCGAATATGATATGGAATATATGCTTTATGTGTGTTAAGTTATTTGCTATATGTGTCATGTATGATATGTTTGATGTGGGCCGGAAGGCGTGGTCATATGGACTGTAAAGGTTGATGTGGGTAGGACCGGAAGGTTTACCCAGTCGGGACGGAAGTCCCCTGAACACATGGACCGGAAGGTCAAGGCCTGGAAAGGCGTATGTGCGTATGTTGTATTTTGGGAACTCACTAAGCTTTATGCTTACAGTTGTTGCTTATGTGTTTCAGGTACGAGTGAGGACCGTGGGAAGGCGCCAGCGTGATCGTACACACACTCGGGGAAACTATTTTATCTTTTGATATGTAATCGTTTGAGACTACGACGTTATTTTGGAAATCTAAACTAATTACTCATGTCTTATGGTTGTAAAAATGAAAATTTTTGGTTGGAAATTTTATGACGTTACAAGTTGGTATCAGAGCCTTGGTTTGAGGGATTCGGGTACACCTTCGGGTGTAACTGGACTCAAACCGGGGATTGGGGAAAATTGTTTTTACAAAAAAATTTAATTTAAATTTTGAAATGTGAGACAACCGAAGAAGAAAAAGTGTGTACGGTCAGCTAGCGCCCGAACGGTAAAAATCCCCAAAATACTCTTATTATATGTGTTACGATTTATGATATGATATGATACGCATGCTAGCAGACTAGGTATACATATTAGGGCTAAAGTGGCCTGATTTTGTGATGCCTTAGTCTAGGGAAAACTTGCTTCTTTGGGGTGCTCGAGAGCGAGTGAGTAACAAGAGTATGAAAAGAATAGAGTGCTCAGGATTCGAGGTTGGGGAGGATGACTTGGGTGAATACCGACGCGGTGTAACTGGCAGTATTGGGCCCGTACTGCCAAGGACACCGGGTCAGTAGGCAGCCAAGTGGGAACCCCTGAGTATCGAAAACTGAGCAGGGCTGCGTTATCGAGTGCGATTTTTGCCCGATAGGGTCTCTGATATTCTTTTGTTGTATTTCAGAGACATCATGGTTGGACCACGACACAGACCTGGCACGAGTGGGGTGACTGACGAGGAGCTCCGTCAGATGATCCATGAGGAGGTAGCTGCAGCGATCCGGGCCGAGATTCCGGAAATGTTTGGGTCTATCAAGACCACGCTGATGGAGACGTTTGATGAGCGGTATGCCGCGTTGTCTGAGGCTGCCGCTGCTGCAGCTACCGCAGCTGTGGCTGCTGCCAGGCCACAGGGGGGTGACTCGTTGCTGTTCCGGGAGTTCAGCAACACGAAGCCACCAGAGTTTGACGGGACTCAGGATCCGATTGCTGCAATGAGGTGGATTGCCGATATTGAGGGATGCTTCTATACTTGTTCATGTCCGGAGCATCTGAGGGTGCGGTTCGCCCTGAACCAGCTCCGCCTGGGAGCGAAGGATTGGTGGAAGTTCGTGACGGCAAACTTCACTCTCGCGGAGGTTTCAGCCTTGACTTGGGAGAGATTTACTGCTATGTTCAGAGACGAGTACGTTCCCCCGGTGGAGAGGGAACGGTTGGTTCAGGAGTTCTTGACCCTCAAGCAGGGTAATGATTCGGTTGCAGTGATCACGCGGAAGTTTCATGAGAGGGCGATGTTCTGCCCCGAGCAGGTGTCCACGGAGCAGGCTCGGATGAGCCGGTATTTGGGAGTGCTGAGGAGAGACATCCGGGAGTTCGTATCGAACTCATCATATCAGACTTTTGCTGAGCTTCAGGCGAATGCCAGGAAGCGGGAGATCGAGTTGGAGACCCAGGCCAGGGAGGAGGCCGAGTCTCAGCGGATGGATCGGCGGCCGACGCAGTCGCAGCCGGCAGCCAAGCGGACCAAGTCCGCTGATTTGAGATCCGGAGGACAGAAGAGCCGTACGTGTGGGAAGTGCGGCAAGGGTCATGAGGGGGCGTGTCGATTGGGTGCTTGCTACAAGTGTGGCAAGGAGGGGCACATCGCGAGGGATTGCCCCAAGGGATTTATGGTTTGCTTCCATTGCAACCAGACTGGCCATCGGAAGGCCGAGTGCCCCCAGCTTCGCCAGGGATCTTCGCCTGCTGCCAGGGTTCCTGAGGTTCGGCCAGTGAAGACCGAGGCCCCGAAGGCTCGTGGGAGAGCTTTCCAGTTGACTGCGGAGGAGGTCCGCGCGGCGCCTGATGTAGTGGCCGGTATGTATTCTTTCACGTATTTACATTTATGCTGAGACATTATGCTTATATTCCTATATGCGTAGGTACTTTTCTTGTGAATCATGTGCCTGCTTTGGTATTGTTCGACTCAGGTGCGAGTCGGTCCTTTGTTTCGCTGGCCTTTAGCCAGTACATCGATATCGATCGGGAGACGATGAGTCGTCCCCTGCGAGTTGCTATAGCAAACGAGAGAGCAGTATACGCCACCGAGGTGATTCGAGGATGCGTACTCGAGATTTTTGGGGTCGAGTTTCCTATCGACTTAGTCCCTATAGCTATGGGGGATGTTTGCATTATCGTGGGCATGGATTGGTTGAGTAAGTTCGGAGCTGTCATTGATTGCGAGAAACAGCTGGTGATGATTCGAGACCCTAGTGGGGGAGTGCTCACAGTTTATGGTGAAGGGACCCGGTGTGGGTCAGCGTTTTGTTCAGCGGCAAGGGCAAGGCAGAGTCTGCAGCAGGGTTGTGATGGATTCATAGCTTATGTGATGGATACTCGTGTGATCACGGAGAGGCCCAATGCGATTGATGACGTTCCGGTTGTATGCGAGTTTGCGGATGTGTTCCCCGAGGAGTTACCAGGCGTGCCTCCGGAGAGGCAAGTGGAGTTTCGTATCGATTTGGTTCCGGGGGCGGCGCCCATCGCCAAGGCGCCTTACCGTCTCGCTCCACCGGAAATGCAGGAACTATCCTCGCAGCTTCAGGAGCTGTTGGGGAAGGGATTCATTCGACCCAGTAGCTCGCCTTGGGGAGCGCCGATTTTGTTCGTCAAAAAGAAGGATGGTTCACATCGGATGTGTATCGATTATCGGGAGTTAAACAAGTTGACGATTAAGAACCGGTACCCGTTACCTAGGATCGACGATCTATTCGATCAGTTGCAGGGGGCATCTTGGTTTTCCAAGATTGACTTGAGGTCGGGATATCATCAGATGAGGGTTCGCGAGGAGGATATCCAAAAGACTGCCTTCAGGACTCGTTATGGACATTATGAGTTTGTAGTGATGCCTTTTGGGCTCACCAATGCCCCGGCTGCATTCATGGATCTCATGAACAGGGTGTGCCGACCGATGCTGGATCGGTCGGTGATCGTATTCATCGATGATATCTTGGTATATTCGAAGACTAGGGACCAGCATGAGGAGCATTTGCGGGAGATTCTTCGGGTGTTGAGATCGGAGAGGCTGTATGCCAAGTTCTCCAAGTGTGATTTCTGGTTGCGAGAGGTCCAATTCCTCGGGCATCTTGTGAACCAGAAAGGGATATTGGTCGACCCGGCCAAGATTGAGGCGGTGCTGAGGTGGGAGGTGCCGAGATCGCCCACCGAAATCAGGAGTTTTCTGGGTTTGGCTGGATATTACCGCAGATTTATCAAGGATTTCTCCAAGATCGCTGTGCCACTTACTAGGATGACCC